TATATAATATTGCAATATGTAATTTTTATATGATAATAATTGTCATTATTATTATTATTATTATTATTATATAAATATTGCAGTTTTTTTAAGAATATGTTGTGTCTTCAAGCCTGCTTTTAAGCAACTGAAAAACGTTACTGTTTGTTACATACATTTGTTGTGTTTACAGGGCCAAGACCCCAATTATGGCAAATTCCTGACAGTTAGCAGGCCATCTATATCACGGGTGCTGTCCTTACCTAATGACAGTTACATGCTCTATCCTGTTAAGCCTGTATATAGGTCCATTCAGGAGAGATTCTCCAAACAGGACTCTACACTACCAGGTGACAAAACAAAGCCAATTTTTACTGGTCATGGCACACGTGCAGAGAGAGAATATGACTAAAGCTGTCTGTGTATTCTTTAGGCTCCTCTCTCTCACTCGGCACCCAGCCCTTTGAAGATAGTGCCGTAATGCAGGTTCCAGGAACTGCATCTCAGACAAACCTGGCCTCCATTCCTGGTCCCCACCCTCTAAATCAAAGAGCAAGATCTAGAAATGCCTTCAGAGCCCTGCGGAGACAGGTACTGCAGCAACTCTCATCCTCATGACTATTTGTTTATACTAGGGATGACAACAGATTACATCTATTAGACATTTACAATGAAATGCTTTGTCACTAATGAAACAAGAATTGTGACATTGATCAAGTGAACATTTATACAAAAAAACAGATGTTCTTACTTGCATTGGATCAAATCTCAAATCAGGCTGAGAACATTATCATCAGATTTTACACAAACTTTACACAAAGGTTTAGGCTGCTGTCATCAAAGCAAAAGAGAGACAAACCAAATACTAAAACATTCTGAAAATCATGCTAATTGTTATGCTAATAATATAATTCAAATTTAATTGTAACTATATACACTATTGATGATGTATTTATTTAATTTAATATAATTTAATATAATGATATAACTCTTATGTAATTGTAACTAAATATATATATATATATATAATTACATCAAATATTACACACAAAAATATATAGAATTTTGTTAATTAGTGTTTAATCTATCTAAATTAATATAAAATAATATCAAATATTTATATATAGAAAAAATTTATTTTGTATAAAATGTAAATAAATATCTGTTTATTTAAAACATATTTAACCTATAATCTAAATTAAGATATAATTAATAATATAAAAAATAACATAAATATATGTAATGAAAGAATACATAATTTAATCTATATTCAATTAAAATATATTTAATATTATTTTGTATTAAATTAGGTATTAAGTTAAATATGTTTTAAATAAATAGATTAAATCTATTTTGCATTATATTAAAAATAGCATTCAAAATTGTCATATAATGAATCATTTTTAAATGTGTGTATTTACATCTGTTTTTACCTGCAGCAAGCAATAAAGAGTGACTCAACTGATTCCACAAACACTGACTCCAGAGAAACCTTACACATCCCGAGCAAGCCCTGCTCCATTGATAATCTTCATCTTAATGTACCCAGCATTCCCCTCACCGGTGGATCTGCCCCCTGTTCGCCCCAGGCCTCACCCCCTCCTCCCCTCCGCAACCGGACAGCGAGCGTACAAACAAGCAGACCTGTGTACAGCCAGCGCAGCATCCCCTGTCGACAGGCCGCGTACAAGACGCAATCTATAAAACCTCTTGAAATAACACGCATACAAACCAAACTACAGGATTCGGATGAGGTGGTCCTACTCAACATGAACATTACCCAAAGAAGAGCCTCTCAGCGTGTGGCACGCAGCCATAATTTGTCCTCTTATGAACCCTTGCACAGTGGGGCGGCCCGCCAACCGGATACCAGCGCTCAAAGTCTACGGAAGTACAACAGTATGGAAAATAATGGCTTCCTATCTCAACTCCACATCCCTCGGCGTCACTCGACGCACGGGGAAGAGTTACTGCTTCAGCAGAAGCCAATTTCACCATCACCTGGACCTTCTCCAATGCCCAAGAAGGAGAAAATGAGCCCGCCGTGCATCTCCATCGACCCTCCTACTGATGCAGAGTTTCTCTCGCCAGCGGTCAGTCAGGAGCATAGCACAGTCCTAAGACGGCGGACACCGTCCTTCGATTCCGCACTACCACGGGAGTCCATAGAACTTCCTGATATGCAGGATGAACCTCTTTTGCCAAGTCATTTGCCCCTCCCACAATTCTTTTTTGACCAATCGGATGTATGTTCGCTGAGCAGCCTGTCAAAACTGCTTTCAGATAGTGACCAGTCGACGCACTCCTTCCCTCCTGAGGCCCGTTCGAGGGTCATGGGAGATGCAGCTCAGACTCCACTCAGGAAGAAGGTATTGGTCAGAATGGCCAGCACTAGGGATCCAGGAAATGAGGATTCGTTTGCCTAGGCGACTGTGCAGGAAGCCACTTACGCATTCTGCCTCTTCGCGAAGCATTTTAATAACAGGAAGAGGTAGTGTCGGCAAAAGTATGCAAATGTGTTTCTGATGGAACTGATGTTTTTTTGCCTGATCATATTGATTAGGGAACTTTTATTAGTGTTCATCACACACGTTGATATTGTGACGTTTTATCACAGAAACATGTTGCATTGTGGCATATGATTACTGTACATGATGGTGCAAATTTAACCCTCATATTTTGTTTGGGGCCTGAATGGTTGATAATTTAATAGCCAAAAAAAGTGTTATTTAAAGTTGTTCTGTAAAGCCTGGCAAAAGAATAATATTTTGAAAAAATATATATATAGTTTTTGGAAGTTTATTGAACCTTTAGAGAAAATATGAAAACAAAAATCTAAAAAAAGTTTGCATATGTGTTTTTTGTTGAGTATCATATTTGATATCTAAATTAGTGCTGTTAATCGATTTAAAAAAATAACTAATCACATTTTTTCTGAAATTAATCGTGATTAATCCCACCTAACATTAAAGTTTTTAAATTTACTTTTATATTGCAATAATTTCACATTCAATCTTCAAATTAATGTAGAAACAACATAAAGACAGTATATTTTTAATATTTGTCTATTGGCATCTTTTCTTATGACTGATACCAATACTATATGATGTCTCTATGAAATCGTTTTTTTCCCCTAATATTTAACCATTGATTATAGCCATTCAACATTACAGTATAATTGAGAGCTATCAATTTTAACATTTATTAGACTTTAATCTAATTTAAGTGAACTTAAAGCAATCTTCACATAAACCCATTATAATACATGTCATATTTAGCTACCTGTGCCCTTCAGCAAGTAGGAAATATACAGAAATTGAATATAGTTATCGCATTCTAAATTCTACATTAAATATAGATGAATCCTTAAAGCTACAAAAGTTATTGATTTCCTCCTTTTCTTTTGTTCTTTGATTAACAGACATGACAGCAGTTGAGTTATTAGGTTATTTTGGCTGCTTTAAGATCTGCTGCTACTGAACATGACGCGGATCTGACACGCATCGTATTTTCTCACAACTCTTTACCTTTTCTGACCCACTTCAGCTCTTAAAGTCTCTAGTAATGAGCTGACGAGTTGAATTGGGTGTGTTCCTGAGGAATTGAATGAGGGAGACAGTGCTGGGGTATCAAGGACAGTTTTTAAAACCGCTGCATTTCAGAGACATGTTCTTAAATCTGACTCATATACTGTACATGCATGCACAGTTTTAAGGCAGCTTTAATGGCCTTTTTGGTAACTTCATGACTTAGGCTAACAGACGACATAACTACGACATTGCATGCTCGTAGTTTATTTTGCACTTTAACATGATATAATATACAGAGCGCACAGTCACGTTTGTGTGTGCAATTGAAGAGCACGTGCTACGAGCACAGTATAACGGCTGACAGGACAGGAAATTTGGTTTTTACTGACATATGGCCTGACAACATCTCATCTGACCGCAGTTCACTGTTGTTCTACTGAAGCTCCCTCTTCACCTGTAACCAGAAGCAGCAGTTGTGAGTGGGGTGGCTAACCCTAGCTTCGCCCCTGCGTTAATTGCATTAAATATTTTTAACTCATTAAATAAAAAAAAAATGATATGCGTTAACGCATTCATTTTGACAGCACTAATATAAATGCATAGGTTTATGATCAAAGCTCTGTAGTTTTTTATTGTGGGAGCAAAACATATAATGCAATGCAATACAGTGAACATTGAGACATTGTATGAACAAATGTTCCTCAAAAGCCCGATGTATCATATCTGATACTCACATCTTAACATATTTTTCAAAAAATTATGTATTAATAATCAAGTAAACCATAGTTGCTTCAGTCAGTAAATGTTCATCTTGAAATATTACTAAAAATATAACAATTATTCGTAAGTTTACTTTATCAAATTGAGTAATGATTTCACTGCAAAAAAAAACACATGAGCCATGACCTGAATTATTTTTTTTTTACACAAATTGTCATTCATCGTTTGTGTGACAGACATGAATGACACCTCAAATCATACAGAAGTGTAGTTTTGCTTTTTTAAATATTACATTTCTATCTTGCGCTGGTAAAAAAAAAAAAAAACACTCAAGATTTGTTAAGAAATTGTAAAAATCTTTTTCCAACAGATTTTCACCCCAAACATAAATAAAAAAACATGTACTAGATAATATTCAGCTGTCAATGTGCATGCCAAATTTATGTTAAAACAGAGGGTTTTAAAGGCTTCAATTATATCTGTTTTGACTAGGTCAGAGTAAAAGAATAAAATAATTTGAAGGGAAATTAGCAAATTTTTAAGTTGTTATTATTAGCAAGTCAATCTCGATAGAACTTGAGGGTTAAATGGCAGCACTATGTCTCATCTTCAAACAAACCCTTCTCTCGTATGATTAATTAACTTTAAAGTTATACCCTAATTGTAACGCCCTGTTGTCTTACAGAGTAAGTTTATGACACATAGAAATATTTTAGCTGAAACATATGCATGTTTCATAATGCAGATTGTGTAGCTGAATGAATGAAATTATTATTGTATATCTGTGTGGCATGTGATTCTTTTGTAAAGGGTCAGAATTTTACATGTTATTGGCCTTCAGGAAGAAACATATTAAAGGAATGTTCCGGGTTCAAGTTCTACATCTGTGCTGCAGATTAACACAGAAAATCATTTTGGTTTGTTCCTCAGTTGTGTGTACAGTGATACAGTGGAAGTCTATGGGGAAAAGCATTGCAGCAGGATAAAACAGACTATAGAAACTATAGTCACGAGACTTAAACATTATGTGTCAACATGACAGTAGTGTAATAAAATTATTAGGGCTGTCAGTTTAACGCGTTAACTTAATTCATTAGTTATGAAAAATGAACGCGATTAAAATATTTTAATGCAGTTAACGTACTGGCCCCGCCCCCAGACCTGTAAGTCATCTTGTATTTCATACAGTTGACTGTTGACAAACATGATGCAGGGCAACAACTCCATAAATGCAGTTATGCTCTAAAATTAAATCTATTGGGACAAAAAATGCCCCTGTATGAGTTTTTGTCTCATATTTATATGAGCGAGATCAATATCACATGAGTGATTTTTGTCCTGAATATCACGAGTTTAAATGTGATTTTATACAACAGTTCAGTAAAAAAGAAGTTGATATTGTGTTATATTTTAAACAGAATCTTATGTTTTTGCTCAATTTTGCAGAGAATATATTACCTTTAAAGCCACAGCAGAACTGTTGCATCTCCAAGCAACACAGCAGTGTTTAGTTTCTGAATGAATCCGCTTTTTGAACGAATCTTGTGAATCAATGATTCAAAGGCCCATTCATAAAGAGAGTCGTTTACTGAATTCCTAAATTAATCAGCCGTTTGAACGAATCGAATGAAGACATTTACCGCCACCTGCTGGCAGATTTATTTTCTTATTTAGAGTATTATTTAATTTAAAATAATAATAATACCATTAAAGGAATAGTTCACCAAAAAAAATCTAATTCTGTCATCATTTACTCAAACCTGAATGAATTTTGAAGACTGTTGGTAACAAAACTCTACAATTTGTAATGTCTACTTGATACTTTCTTATTTAACACAAAAATAGCTTTAAATAATCTTTTGTGGGTATTTTCACAGTCAAATTTATTTTCCGATTAATTGTGATTAATTAGATTCCTTAATCGAAACATCATGTAATTAATTAGATTACAAATTTTAATCGACTGACAGCCCTAGAAATTATATCCAATTTTTCATCTCCTGTTAAATACACTGAGAAAAAAAAATGGTGTAGGGTTTATTTTGAAACAATTTTCCCTCAGAAACTGCTAGTAAATTTCACAAAAGAAATACAAAAAAATGGCAAGTAACACATTGAACAAGTAAATGTGAAATTTTGAAGCAGAAATTAAATATTGAAATATAATTAATCTGAAATAGTATTTTCTTTTACAACATACTCCAGTACGTGTTTTTTTTTTTTTACAGCTTCAAAAAAATCTTATTTTGGTCACGTGTTGAACATGCAAGCACAAGGAGAATTCAAAAACACTATTTTATTTCAACACAGAGGAAACACCAGGAGATAACTTCTGGGAACACGTGCAACACAACCATATAAACACAATACCGGACACAGAACTCAGGAAACACAGGGCCTAAATAACAAGGTGTAACGAGGGAGAACAGAAAAAGGTGGGAAATAATCAATTAACTATACAAACTGAAAACTAGGTCAAATAAAAGAAACAATGGAAAGACATACATGTTATAAAAAAATACACTTAAAAAATATTAATTAATGTATTCATTCAAAATGTAAATAATTTTTCAAATTGACATATTTACAACTTTAATCTTGTGCAGAAAATACTTTTTCTTTAAACCTTCTGAAATATTTTTCCCCTTTGACTTTCTTTGTAAGAGCATTAATGTAAACACATTTTTATATAAATTTAAAATGATAAAGTAATGGAAGTGTTTTTTTCTTTTCTTTTGAACTGTATTCCACTAACATGCTTCATGTAGACTTTTGATCAAGCAATTTATTTTTTATTTTTTTCCTTGCACAAGCACAGAGACTTTCAAAGAAATGGGCTAGAATGAATGCTCACACTTATTTTGGATTAATAACATTTGTGTTTTGGCCCATCAAGTACTGAATTCAACCGTACGTAATCCATAAACATGTATATTTTAGCAGAGTTGTTTAGATATCCAGACACAATGAATAGCATTCAAATTTCCATTCTTGTCAGTGTTGCAGTATTTACAACAACGTAAAGCTTGTTTACTGCCTGGGTCATTTCCTCACATAAAGGCAGATGTGCATCTTTCCCCTGCATGAAGCTAAATATGGGCTTTTCCCACTTAACCCTGGGTTAACTACTCTTTTAAACCCCAGATTAAGGCCCTGGGTTAATAACATTCACACTTTGACATCAAATAATGTATCACGGTTTCCACAAAAAATTTTAAGCAGCACTGTTGCCAACATTGATAACAAGACTAAATGTTTTTCTGAGCTGTAAATCAGCATATTAGAATGATTTCTGAAGGATCATGTGACACTGAAGACTGGAGTAATGATGCTGAAAATTCAGCTTTGCCATCAATGGAATAAATTACATTTTAAAATAGAAAATGGTAAAAATATTTTAAAAAATTATTGTTTTACTGTATGCTTTGATCAGCCTTGGTGAGCATAAATTATTTCTTTAAAAAAAAAATTACCCACCTCAAAGTTTTGAATGGTAGTGTACAGGCCCACATTTCCACAGATAAATAAACAGTTATTGAAAAAAAAAAGTAATATGTTAACCCGGGGTTAAAATTTAGATTTTTAAGTGTGAAACAAAACACAACCGCAAACATGATTGATTGATTACAGTTGACTCATTCTCATGCAAATACATATTCATCTTTAAAAGTGTGTTTTATTATTATTATGATGGAGCAATTTGAGTAAACCAAGGGCTGCTAAATATAACTGAGAATCGCTACTGTACTAAGGTCAGGATATGTGTCATGTATGCAGTGTGAGATCCAGAATGCTGTTTGACTGCTTCTTGATGCTTTTGGGTGCATCTAGAGATGAGAGCATCCAATGAGTGTCATTAAGATACATTCTGTTGAAAAACTATGGACATTAAACTGTTAGAGACTGTTAACTACTTGAAACGAGTTCTATTTTGCTCTCAATGCCTGTAGACTAATCTATCGCCACTATGTGTGAAACTTTAAGAGACAGATCAGCGTGTAAACAGGGCAAAATGCACATAACAAATAGTTTCCAATAATAGGGTACAAAATAGGGCTTAAAATAACTTCAACAATAAAAGTAATATTAAAAATAATAAAAATATGTGTCAATGAAAGAAGGCCTTTTGCCTAAATTAAAGGGTTAGTTCACCCAAAAATGAAAATTCTGTCATTAATTACTCACCCTCATGTCGTTTCAAACCCGTAAGACCTTCGTTCATCTTCAGAACACAAATTAAGATATTTTGTGCTGGAATCTGAGAGCTGTCTGACCCTGCATAGACAGCAACGCAACTGAAATGTTCCCAAGTCCAGAAACGTAGCAAGGAGATCTTTAAAATAATCCATGTGACATCAGTGGTTCATCTGCAATTATACGAAGCTACGAGAATACTTTTTGTGCCCCAAAAAAAAAAAAACGACTTTATTCAACAATGAACAATGAATTATTATTATTCAACAATAATAATAATTTTTATTACTATTTTAATATTTCTAATAACATAGTTTTAATCTATTTTTATTTGTTTTAGTTTTATTAATTTTAGTACTTCAACTTACCTTTTTTAAAAGTTAGTTGCTAAGATAACATTTCCTATTTTAATTTCCATATTTTCCAAACATTTTCCAATTTCTCATGTAATATTTATATTTTATTTGAGCTTTCAAGATTTCAGTTTTAACAAAAACGATTTTTATTCATCTCATAATTAATGTCATTATAATTAATAGTATTTATTGATATTTTAAATTAGCATTTATGTTGATATTTTCAGTTTTCATTTAAGTTTAGTAATTTTGTTTCATGCTTTTATATTTAATTTCATTTTTATATTTCTATATAGCTTTAATGTATTTGTTTTTTAGAAAGTTTGGTATTTCGATCAAATTAGTTTCCCGGTCTTTCATGTAATATTGCTATTTTATTTATTTCAGCTTTATTTCAATTAGCAAAAATGATCATAGTTTTAGTGTTAGTTTATACAGTAACACTGGCCACAGTCATAAAATAGATTACAGTTTTCCACCTTCTCTCAGAATAACCTAAGAATTAAAGTGATCGTTCAACCAAAAATGAAAATTCTGTCATTATTTACTCACCATCAAAACCTGCATTCCTTTATTTTTCTTCATCTGTGGAACAGAGTTTTGTCATTTTGAAGTGTATTCTTGGCTTGTAATGTCACAAGGAACATGATACGAGCCTTTGAATCACAGCACACAATAATGGTGTCATCCAGCAGTCTGGTTCATTGTACCGGTTCATCTTTATTCAGGACCTCGTAGTACTGTATATGTCACCTTAAAGACTTTAATAACCACTGTAACTTCTTCCATTGACAAAATATAACAATTATATCTCTGCTTCTGTGGGAATTTGTGGCATTTTACCATATCATGCAATTAGACAAAATTAGAGCAAGTACACGCATTCCCACCCACCCACCCACCACACACACACGCATATGCAAAGTATGCTTGTCAAAGTAAACAATCTGTTCCAGTAATCTCAGTTATCTCATCCGCAACATGTCTCTGACTGCTTGAGTCCGTCACACACACACACATTCTTTACTCATTCTCTTCACCATTTCTCAATATTTCTCACTCTCTCTTTGTAGTGTCATACTTTAAGTACTTTTAAACAAAATTGACAAATTCTCTCTTAACAAAAAACAGCAAAAAGTGACACAAATGACATGGACAGAACTGATTTAACTGCAGTAAACATTGATGTCATGTATCGTTTGGTGTGGCTGACAATCAGCTGTACCAAGATGGTATTATTTGAAAATCAGAAACACAAAAATAATAAAAAATATATTTTAATTAAAAAAGTATTATACTTAAAGGTGCATCAAGTAATGTTTGCAATTTGGAAAGTTGTACCCTGAAAGAGTGAATAGTGTTTTTGTAAAATATTTAAAAAATTTTGAATATGAAATATGATGCCACTCATGTTAGTGGTATAAAAAGAAAAACTGTTTTATTTATAAATTATTTGCCAAAAACAGTGTTTAGTGTTATTTATTATTATAGTATTTATTAATATTTTGAATTAGCTTTTGTTTTTATATTTTCAGTTTTCATTTTATATATATAGCATGAATTAATTCTTATTTCAGTAGTTTTCTGTTTTAGTAATTTTGGTACTTCAACTGAAATTTTTTTCCAGTTAGTTGCCAAGCCAGCATTTCAAATTTTCGCTTATATTTTTTACATTTTTAAGTTTTTCATGTAATATTTAGATTTTATTTAATCAACTTACCTTATTTCAATTAATGAAAATTATTTTTAATAAGCATTGACCAATTCATAATTCATAGAATTAGTCATAATTTAGATTTAGTCATTATTTATTCACCAAAAAACTTCTGCTTTTGCATGATGCAACAGCCAATACTTAGTGCACCTTTAATTATTTTTCATTTCTTTAAATAAACAAAAATAATAAATTGCTTTACTAAATAAGAAGGACATGGTGATTTTGACGATCATTTTTTAGCTGAATGTAAAACGTTTGGGTAGCCAATGACAATCAACCCAAAACATCCATCTTTGCTTTAAAGTGAGACTACATTATCAGACTGTATTATAGTGTTGATTACAGAGGTGAGCATCATCCCCTCGCCAACCCGCTACTAAATTGAGATACGATACATTTACATTTAGCTAACATTGACGGCAGTCTATACTCTGTCCTTTAGCGCTGCTATATTCCTTGACTTCTGATTGGTTGTGGATTAAAATGCAGGTGGGATGTTGTATCCAGGGGGGCGGGTCTCCACAGTTTCGATGAGCGGTGGACTCTGGTAAGCGTTGACAGGGATGGTGGTCTGACCGATTACGTCGTTGGAGGGGTACGGCTGCTTGGGCGGCTGGCCTCCCATGTGCTCAGTGGTGAACAGTGTCAAGTCAGTACCGAGCAGGAACTTCTGAACAGCGCACACTGTAAGGCCCGCCTAGTCAGGATAACCAGGATAATGCACATTAGTCTGATTAGCATGTTAGTGAGAAAGACAATCACGCTCATGATGTATCAAACATAGTAGCAAGAGTTAGTTAGAATGCTTGAGTTAACCAAGTTACAGTATACACACACCAGAAGAATGATTTCTGTCTTTACTAGAGCTAGAGTAGAAGTTCATTCTTATAGCTATAAATGACTTTAATCAGAGTACACAATATGCAATATATAATGCAATGTAAATGGGAGGGAAGCAGAGCCTGTGTTGTTGTGTGCCTGAAAAAAAGTCAATCTAATTGTACATGTTTTGCTGGAGTTTTTGTAAACTGAATATTATAAAATTACATATATTGTCTACTCTGACTAAAATATATTGCTTCAAAATGCTCCCAAATTACAGCAAAGTTAAAGAGAAAAAAAAAACCGAGGTAGGTTAAAGGTAGATATTTTTATCCAAGGAAATTCTTTCAGCTTTTACAGTGATCATATTGTGTCATAATACATGCCATAGTCATACATCTACAGTACATGCATTGGCCAAATGTCTGTGTACATATACACTACTGTTCAAAAGTTTGGGGGCAGTAAAGTTTTTGAAAATATGTCCCCTATGTTAATCAAGGCTGCATTTATTTGATAAAAAAAAAAAGAAAAACTGTAAAATTACTGTAAAAATGTAATAATTTGTTTTAAACAAAATCTAACACTTATTTGACACTATATTAATTAAAATCACTTTTTAACATTGAAATTGACCACTTTTGATAACTGGCCAAGTGGGAACAATTATTATCTCAAAATCTTAAAATATTGGCTGAATAATTGTCATGGCAGATAAATATGTCTATCATTAAAATATGTATGTAAACAAATATAGTGTAGGTTAATAGAAATAGAAATGTTAGTACTTGGTTTTATCCTTATATGCAAAGTATGAATATGCCAATATTTATGACACATTATTCTTGTGCTTTTAAGTTTTAGAGATTTATTATGTTTCTTATAAATCTAGGTTATTATAAAGTGCATACACTGTACACTCTCGGGAGAAAATGCTGTCACTTGGACGGTACCCTCACATACAAAAAGACTGAGCTAAAAGGTCAATCTTTGTCCCTTATTTACCCCTAAACGGTACATATTAGTACCTTAAAGGTAAATATTAGTACTTGATAAGTACATATTAATACCTAAAGTGTACATATTTATACCTTAGGTTTTGTACCCTTTTTCTGAGAGTGTATTGACCATATTCATAGCACTTTGTACTACTGTCAGAAAAGCATAGTTTAGTGTGCATTTGACAGTAGTATAGGAAAGTTACATCTACACTACTGAAAGAGTATTAGGCTGTTTGGACAAAAGCCTCTGCTTATCCTCCATAAAGGCAGTGTTCTTAAACCTGTGCACTGCTAGCAGACATAGATACGCCTGAAACACAAATGCTGGCGGTCAAATATGCACGTAATTGTGATTGTGTAAAGCATCTATAGGAAGGTGGAGTGACTTACCCAGGTTAGGATTGAGAAAAAAGAGAAGGCAATAGCTGCTCGTGCTGCGTCTGATGCCTGCTCCAGCGGCAACTCCTTAGGGGACGTATGACTCCACTGACTGGCCAAAAAGCAGAATCCTACAAACCAAAGGAACGTCCAGAATCCTAAAGAGAGGAGATTGGAAAATGTATGAGGGAAATAGCAAATATAGTATTCAAAAAACTGAATTTAGATTTTTTTTTTTCAGGTACATGCTACATTATCGTACAAAAATACTGACAATTTCAGCAATTTGGTCTATAGAAAAATCAGGATTATAATCGTATTATGGATTAATAGTATTATAGTATCATATATACCATATATGTTACTTGAAATAAAATAAAGGTTAACTGAAATAAAATAAAATAAAATATAAAAACTTACTTTTTTATTTCAGCTAGTTGACAAGGCAACATTTTTCATTTTAACTTGATGTATTAAAATAACTAAAACTGAAATAACAAATAATAAAAAAAACTATAGACATATTTAAAAAAATAATAATAATAAAATAAAAACTAATAAAAATGACAAACAATGAAATGAAAATGGAAAATATAAGAAATTAAAACTAATTTAAAATATTAATAAAAACAATAATAGCATCTAAAATAATACATTTAACAATGATAGTAACAATAAAAAAATAATAGTATAGTAATAGTAGAAAAATGCATCTCCCCAGCCATTTCATCATGAAAATGTTCTAAATGGTTCATTGCTATGACAGCCTGTACTACTCACTTCTCACTCTTTGTGAAGCTGTAGAGTAATGACAAAACTGTTATAAAAATATTTTAATAAATAAAATAAAATAAATAAATACATTTTAAAAAAGCATATTTTAAATTGGCTTTGAGTGGTCATCACTGCACATAAATGTATGCATTTAAAATCACTGACTGGACATTACTGTAACTGCATCAGAATAAACTAATTATTTTCATTCATAAAATCACAATGATTTATGACTGAACATTTTTACCTGAAAAAACCATCTCTAACAGCACTGCTCTCTTTCTGTCTTTGACACTGCTGATCTGGGGGAAGTAGATGTCCAGGGCCAGGAAGAAGACGCTTGCTAAGAAAGCCACAATTCCTATAGTGATGCCGTAGTTACAAGCGTCTGCATTCTTATTAAAGACACAGTGCAGTCGCTCGCTGCCCATATTCACATAGCCCTCATTTATTATAGAAGCAAAGACCGCCATGGAGAAGATCTGGAGAGAGACAGTGAAAAAACGACATGAGTCACAGAAATAGGTATATAAACCTCATCCCTGGTGTTAAATTAATAAAACCCCTTAAATTAATTGCATTCTCAGAAGGCATCTAAGTGAAGCTTTTCGTCTCTTATACTATACATGCTAAATGGAGGTGACACACCATTCTCTTTATCGATGCCGTGTTATGCATTTCCCAGGAAAGAATTTAATTTACACCTCAGGGAGAAAATGTGGCTAATTCTCACTAATGCAACAGATCACGCACAACCACACCCACTCAAACAGATGCCAAGGGAATGAAAGGATCACCAAAAAAGTGCACAACGTGCAGTCTAGTGTGTTTTGGAGCAACAGTAAGAGAAAATCAGTAGTAGCACTCAGTTATTGTGGTGCCATATGCTATTTTTGGCAATGAAGCCCCATAAACTGACGCATATATCACATCACACAGTCGTCACAGAAACAGTTACAGCTGCTGTGGTTATTGGCTGGCTGGATAAAACATTGTGTTAAAGCAAGAAGCAACTAACATGCCTCTAAATATGCCTCGAAGCCCTACATCTGACCCCCTTTTGTTGAAGTAACCTAATGTACTCAGGTTGATTCAGTCATGTTAAATAACATGCCTTGAATAAAGTCAGTTAAATCTTCCTCTGCCCTTATGCACGGATCTGGTAATTGGTGTACATTTATGAACATATCAGTCATCCGTTAATAAAGTAAGTTCATTTATAGTTTAAACTCACGTGTGCATTGTCATTCCTGAGAATGGCCAGTGGCTTTAAACGTTTTTTTGCCAAAACTGTACAGTATAGTTATTGTAATACAGCTTTGATACCTTGGTCTACTACTATTAACAACAAAAACAAACAGAATAATTGTCTGCTTACAATATTTAAGGAGATCTGACATAAATATTTTGTCATTTTGTTTTTAAGAATCTTGACTTTTGTTATTCATTCTGTAATTTTATTGCACGAATGACGCAAGGGTTATAACACCAGTGACAACAACACAGTGACAAATCTGCAAAAAAACACTATTGACCAGACTCAAATCAATCTGGTATACAGCAATGACATGTAAAGAACCAAACGAGAACATGACATTCATCGGTAAATCAATTTTTTTTTCAGTTTGTTAGGGAAATCAGCATGTGCACACAGTCTCTCACACTCTCTGAAGTTTCTTATTAAAACGCCAGATAAATGACAGAATGAAGATTTTATGAAGTTTATTAAATAGCTGAAGTCTGTTTCATTCAATATCACCACTGTTTATTACTATTATTATTATAAAAGTCATACATTCATCACTATATTTGAACAATAACCCAAATATCGCTAGGCTACATGTGGCACTACCAATGCGTGCGTCACAACCACAGCAACATCTGGCGTGCGTCCACCTAAAGAAGACAGCATCCTATAACAGCATCCTATAATAACACCTAATCATTGCGTTTAACAACTGAAAATATACAACAATAAAAATGTATAACGCATGACGGAAAATCAACCTTGTTAAAATAATCGCTTGACCATTAAAAGGGGAACCGTTCGCATCATTCTGTCAATCATAATTCATAGAAGATTGCTGTTCTTACCCATGCCAGGACTCTTAGGATTGTCTGTGGCTGTTTGATGAACGCAATCAGATCAAAGGCCGAACCGGCTCGGCCCGCTCCAAACGAGGCCGCTCCATCCATCCTCCCAGCACTGTGACGCGCTGACTGCTGCTGTGCGATACTCTGCGGAAGAAGAGCTGAGCGCGTTCACGAGCGCCTTTCGTGCACACCCACAGTCGAGCGCGCGCCTGTCAGTGTTAACTAATGGTGGGGATTTTGATTCATTTAGATTCCAAGCAGTTCACGAAGAAGATTAATTGATTCAATGGCCGTTCCCTGCATTTTACCTTTTTTTTTTTTACTATTTTGATTTGGCCCGCCATGCCATATCATGTACACTCTAAAAAATGTTTGGTTAAATACAGTGTTGGGGGTAACGCATTACAAGTAGCGCGAGTTACGTAATCAGATTACTTTTTCAAGTAACTAGTAAAGTAACGGATTACTTTTTAATTTACAAGAGAATATCTGAGTTACTTTTTCAAATAAGTAACGCAAGTTACTTTGTTTTCCCATTTATTGATTGACAGCTCTCCTGTCCCCATGTTGAGAGAAATCAGAAGATGTTACTGTAGTTCTAAAATAAATATGAATATGCATTAATTCGTCTCACTCACAAAAAAAACACAGATTCAGTATTCCTCAAAATGAATAAAAATAATGCAACTCGGAATATGACGCAAACCGGCAATAATTAAATGTTAAACAACACAAATATCCTTTATGTATTTAATCCCATTCTATTAACCAATGTCTTTGCTTCTGACCTTCGATTATCCAGTTCAACCGTACTAATAAGCACAAATGACTCTAGACAAACATTTGTGTGTTTTTTATTGCTGAAGTGTGTTGAAATTTCTTCTAAATTTACTTTCCCTTCAGCCTGGGGCTTATTCGTTTCACTTTTGGTGTGAAAGGGCTTTTAAATTAGCCAAAAATAAAACTTTTTTATTTTAAAAACAAACTAGCAAGCCCTGTCCAGATTTAAAAAGTAATGCAAAAGTAACGTAACGCATTACTTTCCATAAAAGTAATTAAAAGTAACTTAGTAACTAAGTAACGTAATTAGTTACTTTTTTATGGAGTAACGCAATATTGTAATGCATTACTTTTAAAAGTAACTTTCCCCAACACTGGTTAAATATAACCCAGTGCTGTGTTAAAAAGGGACAAACCCAGTTATTGGGTTGTTTTGACCCAGCTATTGGGTTGTTTTGACCCAGCTATTGGGGCTTATTGGAAAGCCGTTACAGGCCTAGCTAGAGTATATAAATGCAGGAAATAAAAATAAAGTTAAATATAATGCAGCATAAGTTTGACTTTTGTCCCTTTGTGGTATAGTTCATCTGGTCATCTCTATAGGCCTAGATAGCCTACGCCAGGGGTCTGCAACCTTCAACGTCAAAAGAGCCATTTTGTCCACTTTCCCACCTAATAAAATTAATGTGGAGCCACAAAATATTTGATCCCCAAATAAAGATAACGACATAGAGCTAAAGTGTTATATTCAGTTATGTTATAGGGGGCAGGGGAGTAGCAATCATTTCAGAAGTGAGGGGGACAGAAATGTCAAATGTAATAATAATAATAATAATAATAGGCCTAATAATATTTATTTGTGTATGTCTAATTGACAAAAAAAATGTCTTATCTCTTACTTTTACTTGGCTACGAAATAAAATACACTGCTGGACAATAACCAATTATTTGTCTTTTATAATATTTTTGATATATATTTTACTAATGACAATTGTATGGTTATGATTGTATAATCAGTATAATAGTTTATATACAACAAACACTTTTTCCATTTTTAATAAACCATATCGCAATCGTTTATTGTCTTTACGTTTCATCACTTAAGGTTTATGCTTGTTATTCCGCTTAGCTACAGCAATAGCGGGATGCCTTTGTCCATATTAGGGATTTCCTGGCATCAAAAGTTACTTCTATCATATGAGTCCGTTTTCTGTACGAGAGTGCCCTCCGGCTTCAAGTATGAATGAAACATACAGCGCATGAGAGTGTTCAGCGCTCCGTGATGTTAACATTGTTTTGGTTAAGAATAAAACGTATACGAAACGACGTGACTATATTGTCTCTTTTAATTTAAATCTAGATTTATACACATTAGCCCTTGAAAACCTCTATGTGAACACACTTGCCCGAGAAAAAGTGCATGGGAAGAGTTTAGGTTTTATTAAAAGTCGGAGGGACCCGACGTATTGTACACCCATGCTACAGGGAGCCACCGCAGAGGGATGAAAGAGCCGCATGCGGCTCGGGAGCCACGGGTTGCCGACCCCTGGCCTACGCCATTACAGTAGGTGGTAAAAAGTCGATGTCTTTGTTAGTGTTTAGGATTGATAAACGCATTTACCAAGTAACAAGTGTGACTCTCAAACATTCCTTTTAACGCAACAGCTTGCATACAGTATACGAGCTGCTGTATGAACAAATAATCAATGTTGTTAACACTATTTTCTGTTCAGGACATGGTTGCCTGTAACCGTAGTGACAGCAGTGGATATCAAAGATGGCAACTTCCATAACACCAGGAAGTCGAGTCGACGTTATAAAAGAGTTAAATCGAGTTAAATTTTAATTAACGAACATCGGTTTTGACGAGAGTTTTTTTTATATATATATATATAAGTTGTGGACAACATTTTGGTCGTGCACCAGGGGCGCGTTCAAGCTCAAACCGATGCGCAACGTTTTGCTACTGTTTCCGGGTTGAACGACATGTTTCCTGGAAACGGTGTGCAACCCGGAAACAGTAGCAAAACGTTGCGCATCGGTTTGAGCTTGAACGCGCCCCTGGTGCACGACCAAAATGTTGTCCACAACTTATATATATATATATAAGTTGTGGACAACATTTTGGTCGTGCACCAGGGGCGCGTTCAAGCTCAAACCGATGCGCAACGTTTTGCTACTGTTTCCGGGTTGAACGACATGTTTCCTGGAAACGGTGTGCAACAGGGTTTGAGATACGTTTTCTCTTGTTTGGTGGGTGTGTCAAAAATGTCCGCCCAATCAGCAGCAACATGTATATAAACCACGGTGTTACAGAGACAGCTCGCACAATGTAATTAACATCAAAATAAATTCACAAGAGCAAGTATATTGTTTGCACATGTTTATTTACATTAAAGGCAAAATAACTGAAATAATAAGAGCACAAGCATAGATCTGGAACTTCTTTAAGTCTGTCTAAATATCATTTAGTAACTGCAATGTCTTCTGGTCCATATGCTTTCCTTAGGAAGGTGTGCTAGACACTGATTAATGTAACATAAAAAAACTATACATATTTATATATTTTGCTATTGTATTGTGGAGTGACACTTTCATAAACTTTTCTATACTCCTCTGATTATATAATGGTAAATATTACAATATCATAGCACAACAACAGTGATCAGCAATAATGATAAGCCTAATAATCACAATAAAAATAATAAGGTCATATAGACAGGGCCGGATTTACCTCTTTTCGTGACATAGGCAAAACAAATGACCCCCCTTCCCTATTAATATAATAGGCCTAATATTACCACCGAGCAAAACAAAATTATTTCTTAATCAGTGAAAACCGTTACAGTGTTTTCTGCAATAAGCACTTGCTTTCAGTCAATAAAAAATGAATGTAGTTCTTAATTTGTTTGAGAACTGAGAAAGACCATTCCATTAATAGGCGCGGCGACGTGGTCACATAACCACTTCGGGAGTGCATTATTTCTCTAATAATTTTAACGGCCTGGAGTCACAATCACACATCACTTGTTCAGATTATTTGTTTCAAGACATTTGATGTTTCTGTCCTGAAATATCATGTGTGTTGAACTAGCTAATTTTTTACGCACCTCATCCCAAACCTTCCTTTGCAAATTCCAAAACGTCATTTTAGAGCTAATAACAGAGGCTTGAGCCATTGATATGTAGGCTAAAGCAGTTATTAATGCAGTCTAACGCAGTTATTAGAGAGAGAGAGAGCTTAAGTGCGTGTGAATACTTGCGTCTGTGCGTCTGAGCAGTGTTCAGCAGCAGCGTCTACTAATAGCGAATCTTTAAGTTGAACTGCTTCAAGAACTTCACTACTGAGAAATGCAAAACTATTTTATTGATAAATTTGCGGGGCAGCCGCAGCTCTGACAACAAGTTTCTGTTAGCGTCTCTGGGTGTGTGCGTCAGTGCGTGTCTGTACTGTGTGTGCGTCTGCGAGAGAGAACGGGAGAAAGAAAGCGTGATTTCCTTACATAAAAAAGGTTGAAGACATGGAAATTGTTTGTCATTTTTACCCTATTGTTTGTTATATTTATTTGCTCAGTGTCTTCTGGGGTTTTGGTTCTTTTACTGTTGTAGATATCCCATAGTATAACAAAAATTATATATCTCTTCATTGTGTTTGCTCC